GTCACACAATAAGGTATACCTATGTACTACAAATTGAATAATTACTAAACAGTCATTTTCCATTATAAAACATAGTGAAACCGTGCAACTAAATTGCAATAACCTAACATTCGAAAACAGTTATTATCCTTATACCTTTGTTTTTATTAACAGATAAATAATACTTGCAAATATTTAAAATGTAAAAAAATATCTTATTCATTCACGTGTTTAGGCAAAAGAGTCTGATTTTGTCGTTCACTATTAAAAACACAGTAAAAGCTACGGTAGGTCAAGATTCACTCTCGATAAACCTTTGTAGGTCTGCGGTCAGGAACGGTCCGAAAGGGTGTTGAAATATTAATTTGAAAATATTTTTGATCAGTGTAAATATGCATTGCAAATTTGTTTTTAATCTAACTTCCCTTAAAATTAATTACTGAATCACCCTGTATAAGTGAAGATTGAAATAATAATATATTTTTTTAAATAATGTACGAAAATTAACAATAGAAATAAATTTACAAATTTATAAAAGATTTTTTAATTACCTGTTTTCTGGATGTTTTATGTAAAATAACACACTAGATCATTATTTATTTTAACGCCACATGGGTTAATGTAAAATTACATTTGCATAAGGAAATTTTACATTATTAGATTACTGTATATAATATTGAATTAACCGATGTGGCATTAAAATAAAGAATGATTTACACTAAAGGGTAAATAAGGTAGTTTTTTTATTTTTTTATATAATATGATAGAGATTTTTTCCTGAATTCTACAAAAGTACATATTATTTCAGTGCAGGTAATACTGAGCTTTTTTGAGGGATGAAATTGTATAAAATGTATATACTAAAACAAAGCATACAGGCTGTTACAAATTCGCTTCTCACTACAGGAATCTCGGAAACGGGAAAGGTTGAAAATGAAGATTAGCGTAATATTATCGGAATTTATTATATCTCTAACCGCAACTGTGAAAGAGCATGTCAGATGTATTTGTATGAATATCCTGAAAAAAATAGATCGGAATTTGTTTGAATTTTGAGCACTCGAGAAGCCTAGAAATAACTATGGGCATGGGATTAAAACTCTAATGTTATTTGATTTTAATGCGTGGTGGTAATAGTTTAAATAATGAGATGGATTTCGCAGTGGACTTACAGTGTACGATAATTCAATAAAGAAATCTAAATAAAAAATTTAGATAAATTTGGAACGAATATACTGAAGATGAATTTTTCGAGACAAAACGTCTGAATCTGGTTCTGGCTGAGGCAGTACAGTATTGGGGATCATGAGGGCTTTCAAAAAATATAACAAAATTTCCAGGGTCATATTTAAAAAAATGAAGTTGATGATGGTCCTGGAGAGATGAAACGTTACATATAAAAATTGCTTATGTCACTCGATAGAGGGCAACAAGTGGCCATGAGAAAGTGTCCTTCTTTTTTCAATATCACCTCAAACAAAGCTGAATCAGACAAAAACGGATTTCCAAAATTTCATTTTTTTCAAATATTTAGAAAACTACTCATATTAGCCTTGATTTTTTAGAGGCATAATGTTGGTTCCTTGATTACACAACTTTGCCCCCATTTAAGCTAGTTTGTATCTCTTACCATTTTCGAGATCCCTGTAGTGACAAGCGAATTTGTAACAGCCTGTATATATTGAGTTTCGTACAATCCACGTATACAATTTTTGCCGCATGTGCACTTTAATTGCATAAAAAATATGCTTTTAACATATTTCCTATTCATGTCCTTCATATTTCACTTGAGTATACTTAGAGTTCACTAAAAATGTTAATTAAATACACTTAAAAGTACTCAAGGGAAACAGTCCGCTCGCGAAAGTAACAAATCGACACCAATCCGTCAACATTCTATTACTTGTCTGCCTGAAAAACAATGATCCTAGAGTTCGGGGATAAGCGGCTCTTAACAGAGCCGGATTCTGTTTACTAATATAAATATGGACACATTTACACAAAACATGTCAGTACAATACTGTTAACATTAAACAGTAGAATTAAATAAATACCTAAAACATTTAACCTACAAAGTTTTAAATAAACTTTCAGTATTATATTGACTAACTTGAAATCACTTTTTTTTGTTGGAGAAATTGCAACTCCTAAAAAAGAGGAACAATTTTTGAAAAATCTGCTAATAACTTTTTATTCAAATTCCCCGGAGTAAAATTTTGAATTATACATAAAGACAAAGAATATATAAATATTATTCAAAATAATTAAACAGTTTTCTTAAAATGGTAATACAATGAAACACTTGGCACAATGGGTTTAAATTAACAAAGTCATTAACACTTAAAAATATATATAAGTATGCAATTTTTGCAGATAATCACAATAACTCTTCACCAAAACCAAAATAACTATTTTGAAAAGGAGTTACAAAATGCATTTTCACACTCTCCAAAATTATATACAGCTTGAATCAATATTAAGCCTTTATAATTACAAAGAATAATTAAGTAAACGATGTTTAAAACAGTTGATGTTTCACATACTCTTCAATAACGTTAAATGGAAAATTACATAATTTTCTCAAAGTCATATTATTTACTTACCACTGTATTTATTTATACTAACATTATATAGTTAAAGTACTATGTTGCAGTACTACGTCACAAATTGATCTAAACATGTGGTCTGCTAGACCCCTAACAGAGTTCTTTATGTACACATGGTACTACTACACTGACTGATCATGTGGTTAATCTGATTCGTTGTACCAAACCAGGTTAGTGTAAAATCACATTTCTATTCGTATATTTACATTAAATATGTACAGGATGTCCCGAAATTCATGCAACAACATTTGGTCATAGTTTCTTAAGACAAATTTAGGGGACCCGTATATTTTCTTTTCGTCATCTGGCCCCCTCTTTCGCAGTTACAGCCCCCTGAAATTTGCTCCTAAGAAGTCTTTTTTATATCTCAAAATCATGTACGAGAATGACTAAATTTGGTACACAGGGGTTTTATAACATGTGGAATCTCACAGTGCTACGCTTTTTGGCGAGAAACCCCCTTAAGACACTTTTTCGTGGGTCTCCTTGTCTTTCGAACCAGAAAAATTTTGGTAGCAAATTTGATTTTTTTTTAATTACCAGTTAGCTAGAAAGCCATTGAATTTAGAAATTTTTTTGTCTCTTGATATTTGTTTCGTAAATCGTAATGTTTTTGAGGAAAATGGCGAATCACGATATGCATTCGATCACATTTTGACATTTTTCTCGAAAACATTGCGTTTTACGAAAAAAGTTTAAAGCGACAAAAAGTTTCTAAATTTAATGGCTTTCTAGTGGACTGATAATTTTTAAGAAATTTAAATATGCGACCAAATTTTTTTGGCTCCAAAGACAAGGGGGCCCACGAATAATTGTCTTAAGGGGGTTCCCCGCCAAAAAACGTAGCACCATCAGATTCCACATGTCATAAAACCCATGTGTACCAAATTTAGTGACTCTCGTACAACAGGGTTCTGAGATATAAAAAAAAATTATTCTTAAGGGCGGACTTCAGGTGGCTGTAACTCCGAAAGAGGGGGCCACTTGGCAAAAATAAAAAATACAGGTCCCCTAAATTTGTCTTAAGAATCTGTGACAAAATTTTGTTGCATGAATTTCGGGACACCCTGTATAGTAAAAACACGTAAAAGAAAACATTAATACAAAGTAAAAATTAAGAATACACACTAAAAAAGTTATATATACTTAAATGCGTATTTAATTTCATTTAATCCATTAACATTTTTGTGTATAAAAACACAATTTCCACAATTTTTATCAGTGCATAATTTTGCAATTATACGAGCAAAAATTGTTAAATAATTTTTATATTGTACCTATAACCGCAAAGTAATATTACAATAAAGATGTAAAAGTGCACCGCATAATAGTTTTACAATTAAACTTTACACCTTATTTGCAAAATAATAATCGATAAGAGAATAAAATAAATTAACATCTATGTATTTCTGTTAAAATTCCTTTTTTCAGTGTATATATTTTTCTCACAGGTAAACTTAACTGGAACTGTAAGGCTTTAACAATTATTTGAATCAATTTTCTTACTCACAAGAGGTAAATAATGTAACTTTGAAGCTCTAAAATGTGGAGTTTAGCCAAAAAGGACGAAATATTGGCGCATTCACCATTTATTAGAAAAAATACATTTTTACAGATTACATATTTCTCCATTTCGGCCTTACAAAGCAACGAATTACGACCGCGAAGGCAAATCTAACACCTACGTGGAAACTGTGATTGGCATATAGCAGTTACTCAATCCAGTCGACATTTTTTCGCAGTGTGTAAATTTCGCGCCGTCGAGAACAACGCGTCAAGCGCTATGAAAAATACACCGCCGTTGCGTATGTAGAACAAAGCGGATTAAACGAATTAAACTGAAAGGTGAACCTGTAGTTATAAATGCAAATAGCGCCGGTAATATGAATAAATGCGATCCGAAGTCGACGTTCTGCTGCCCCCCGTATAAGCGGCCGGGCGGAGAGGCGAACAGAGTGAGCGGACGTATTTAAAAAGAGACCAAATCAAGTTTAAACTAGGAAAATTTCGAATTATACGACAAAGACGAAATATTCGCCTGCCGTAAAAGGAACAAAATAGTCCGAATCGCGGGCAAGAAAAAGACGCAACTGCTGAAACCTTCTGCGGGTCATCAGACAAGGACTAGTTAAACAAAGACAGTCGATATTTTAACCTATGAAATTAATACGATAGAAAAGAATACAAATAGACACGGAACAGAGATCACGGCTTACGCGAGAGAGACGAAGCGGACCCCGTAGTATTTTAAAAGACGCACCGAGGCATATGCGCTCCGCTAACGCAAGACGAAGAGGCTAGATAATAGGGATGCACACCGATCTAGTGGCCGAGGGAAGGGAAAATGCAAGTGCATGCAAGTGCCGTGTGGCGTCGCACTTGTTGCGTCACAATATGACGTTACTACAGTAGTGATACAGACCACCATTCATGCAACACATTACTGCAAAATTTTGAAACAATCGAAACGCGCCAACTCCACTCAAACATGTAACTCGATGCTCCGCAAAGTAAGCCGGCTCGCAATTGTTCCGCACGCTTCTCGCCGCCCGCTCTGCTCAGGACGTACTAATTTGGGTTATTTTTTTTGCAGATCCACGGGAGAATGGCGAAAAAACACCGACCTTACCTGCCGCTGAGATGAGGAGTCCCGCAAGAGACAGTTTTGTTTTTGTTTGTTCAGTGCTTTAAACTCTGCGCGAAACTTTTATTTAAATTGCAGTGACGGTTTCCGTTGCCCGTTCAAAAAAAAAAAACTCTCACCCCGGACTCGAATATAAAATAATTCCGTGCAAGCGTGAATTTATATCTGGTAAAATTTTGGTGTAATGAATGATTTGAAGCGATGGGTAATAGGAATTTTATAGCAATCAGTGTGACAAACTTGCCGCCCGAAAAAAATGGCGGAGTGTTCGTATGCGCGGTGTGTTCAACAGAGGAGAAACATTAGAAGAGAGCTGCAAAGATGGACAAAAAACATGGTTCATATTGTGGGTGAGTAGCTGAATTTTTACGAAAATACACCCCGATCGATATCGGCAGCGCCGCAGCCGCGACAACCTCCCGAAATGCCGAGCGCTTCCTTGTGTACTCTCTAACCTGTTGACTATGGAAATGTACCCCGATCGGCCGATTCCCCTAGACGTGCGGATGATTGTTTATAAAAAGCCGGCAGGCCGCCGGGATTCGAATTTGGAAAAACATGCGCGTCGCCCGTCTTCTTCGGCCCGCTTTCCTGCGTTTAATGATTTTTAAGATGCACTTTTTTGTTATGCGTCGTGGTGCATTTTTCTGGAACGGCGCCGAATTATTACTCTACTTTTATTTTTCGGGGAAAATTCGCCATTTCCTTCATTAAATTACTTCTGCTCCAGGAAGTATTGATCGAAAATATCTTCGATAACCGGTCTTCTTCGTTTTTATTGCGCCCGTTTCGAATATAAATTGCATTTGTCGGCGATTATTTCAAGGCTGCACAATTATTTTTAGATGCTCATCACTTTTTTTTACTGCGAGTCGTCCGTTTCGCTAATTGACTTACAAAAGTTTTAAATGGAATTTTGTTACTTCTCCACCGCCGCCAATAAAACAAAAAATCGACAGTAAACTATCTGAATAGAAATTTTATGTGGTACTTTAATTTACTTGATGAAAAAATTATCTAAACACTTTCTCTTAAATTCACAGCTATTAAACGGTAAAAGTGCGAAGACATTATTTTTAAAGACATTGAAGTTAAATAAATAAATAGGTAATTAGATTCTCTGTATAATCGACTTAAATATTAAAAATTAAGAAGTGGCTACAGATGTCATTCAAATAATCAAATACGTCCGCAAATCCATTTATTTAAATTAAAATAAATTTATTAAAATACACTACTGGAAAAAATTAAAGGAACTCCGTGAAAAATTGTCGTATCGAGATAAACAAAACGTTTTGAAGCTTAAAGTCTCCAGTTTCAAGTGAAATTTAAATTATATCTAACCCAAAATTGTAGGAAAAGCCGACAAAAATTCTTCTTTTTCATTTTGATAATGTTTAGGATCAATAAACGTGTTGCTTTAATTCTTTCGAAAACTTTGGTCACTTGGAACAGAAAAACAGTTGGATGGATCAACTTGTCAATTTACAGGGTTATTATGGATACATTGAGCGGCAAATATTTCTGTCAACATTAGTCTATTCATCAATATTTCTAAATTGCCGGTAAATTTTCCAAAAAACTGTAAAAAGTAATTTTTTGCACTTTTTTCAAATTGTTGTCAAAGATCGAAAAAATTTTTTTCTTCAAAAACCGTGACAGGTCCTTGTAGAAAATTGATTCAAGTTTTCAAAACCGCCCCTGGATTTGCTGTGCAATAATCTCTTGCAGAGCTATCGATGATTAAAGACGAAAGTGTAATTTTTCATTGAACTATCGTTATCTCGGCAATCAAAAATATTTTTCTTCGAAAACCATGACAGGTCCTTGTAGAGAATTGATTCAAGTTTTCAAAACCGCCCCTGGATTTGCTGTGCAATAATTTCTTGCAGAGATATCGATGATTACAGACGAATGTGTAATTTTTCATTAAAGCATCGTTATCTCGGCAACCAATAGTGGCACGGAGACTTTTCAAAAATCAAATTGAAGCTGAATAAATAAGCTAACTGACCTTTGTATTGATTGAATTTGAAAAAATTCTATAGACAGTGCTAGAAAAAAATTTTGGAAAATTTTTTCTCGAGGTATTTCTTTTGATTTCTCGATAACCGTAGTTCAAAAAAACGATTTGCGTAAAGATCTTGAAACTAGAGACTTAAAGCTTTAAAACGTTTATTTGTTCATGTCGATACGACCAATTTTCACAGAGATAGAGCCATTCCAAAATCACTGAAAAATTAATGAAAAATTTTTATTCCTTTAATTTTTTCCAGTAGTGTATATTAAATAAATTAAATGCAGACACTATTTCTAATCAACCTGTGGGTTATACCAAAAATTAAGGATTAGTTACACATATTTCAATCAAAAAAGACCTTTCAACTATAATACGAATAATTACTTTAGAATTTTCAAGAATTTGCTGCAAAAATTTGTTTTTTAATAAATGAATTCGTAAATAAACACATACATTACACCTGATCTAGCTATTTTTGTATATTCATAAGAAGTAAAATTACTTACCTACTAAAGTATTATCACATTGAAGATGCAATTTTAATATAAAATTACGAAAATTTGCATTCTACTTGGATGGGCCAAAACGGTTCACTGTAAATTTACACAAGAACATAAATAGATAAACAGTTTAGGAATAATATGTAATAATAATAAACAGGACACTAAATGAAGTGAATAATAATAGGAAAAATATATTCTAATGCTTAATTTTGCACAACCTATCATGTGGGTACATTTTATTTACATGCATGTGTGAAATCCATTGCAAATTTGTAAAATATAGAAAGTAGTATTTTTCTCAGTGCAATTATACTTCAAAAGTTCTCATTTAATTTCGAAGCGCGTTGAAGTGTATATTTCTCCCCCATTCCATGAACAGCTTTTGCAACAATTTTGAATAATTTTAATGTAATAATACCTACTGCTGAATACACAAATTGTTCTATTACGTTCAATGAACAAATAACGAAAAGTGAAATATCTGGTTCATTTAAGTACAAACATCGAACGTGTTATTTTGATTCTTTTCAAACAAAAACTTCGATTTTAGATCATAAAATCCAAAAATAGTACAAAAGTACAAAAGAAAAAGGTAAATTGTGTAAACGTGCAAATCAGTCGACATTAATTCAGAAAACAAATGAATATGAAAACAACCTAGGCAATTGAAACTAATTAAAATATACTAGGAGCCATTACATTTTTAAATTTGTATCTACGAAGCATTTTAAGATGTGTAAAAGAATATCTGTTATTAGATTTACTTACTACAAAATAAATTACTAACGCAGTTTCTTAAAAATCGTAGTAGGCTCTGAAATAGTTGAAGGTGAAGAAGTATATTTGAACTTCATTTGTTTTTTACTTATTATGTTGCATCTATAAGTCAGGGCACAATATATAAGTAAAAATGTGTACACTCATAAACAGTTTACTTAAAATTACATACTAGAATATTGGTTATTTCGACGTCACATATTTGTAAGTGTTCACGTCAAATTAGCTAGTATATAAATAAATATACAAATAATATTACCTACTAATAAGCATACAAAACAGTTCATTGTAATGTCACACGTTTATGTACTGATAAAAGATTATACGAATACATTTTAAAATGAAATAGTACTACGTACTACAATACCCGGTAGAAAGTAGATATATCTAATTAGAAATATCTCGTAAGTGTAGTAATGTTACGCTCAACAATGTGTGCTTATATTTTATTTGTATTATTTTTTTTTGTTTTAAAAAACCACTGCAACTGTGTAAAATTATTTCCATCAGTGTACTAAGCTTCAAAGGTCTTAATTTAATTGAAAGCGCATTGAACTACATATTTTCTCTGAATCCATGGCATTGATACAGTTTGCGGGCCAAAACTGGTTAAACATTTACTATTTTTGAAACAATAGATTCGGTTTTGATGTAGAAGCCGAAAATTTGATGTCCCAATTAACAACGCTTCAAAAAAGTCTGATATTCTTCATTTAAACCATCTATTTCTTAGGCTGATGGAAAGTATGTTAAAAATCAAGTTGTTGTGGCGCCGACTTTAAACATTAAAGTACCTACTATAAGACTGTAGAGTTGTTTTTAACGCTCATCATTGTCACTATTTCGCAAATTACATTAACATTCCGTCACTGAAAGTTTTAAAAGGAATTCGCTGGTTTCGTCTAATTCTTTGGCTGGCAATTTAAACATTCCTTCCGATGGAAAACAGCGGTATTTTAGACTTCTACCTTTTCTAATGACAACCAAGAGTTGCATTAGAAAAAATCTTATTCAAATGTTACCTGGTATTAGTAATTAATTAATATTTTTTTTAATTAATTTGAGGAACTTTAATGCACTTGCATTACATATCAAACTCAATACTATATTATAAAAAAATTGATTTACTTTGTTACTTTTATAGCCAGTTTTAGAGTTACGTATCAATTATTTGTATATACATACATCCACATTTTCTTGAAATTTAATCTTATGCAGTGAACTGATTTTATCTGAATTTTATTTCGTAATTAAATATTTCAAAATTATCTGTCCTATTCACCCTTTCTTATGTCTTTTCTTAAATTTGACAGTACACTCATAAAAGTATGGTTTTTTACTATTAGATTTACCTCATATGTATATGTATATGTACATTTACAATGGCACTTTCACACACAAAAAAAAATTAAGACATAATATTTACCATTTCACATTTTTAAATATCTATATTTATTTCTTAAATTGTATTTGTTATCTTGTACGCTGTACAATTATTTTAAAATGTACTAATTTACAAATTTACAATGAATTGTTTTGCTTTTTACGTGAAAATTTAAAAATGGAAAATTACATGGTTAATGTAATTTTACATTTGTAGCTAATATATGAACATAAGTGACATTAAAATGGCCGATAATCTATTCTGTTTTTCTACATAATATTTCGATGAGCGTGAATGACACTTCTAAGTGTTTTCACGTAGTCTTATATTAAAATCAATGAACGATACTTATAATATTCCCAACAAAGAAAATGTACATTTTTCATAAACCTTGTTTTTCATATTCATATTTTCTACATCAAATCTCTTTTACTTCAGGGAATATTGATCGGATATCTCCTCAATAACAAGTCATCGGGTTTTTGCGGTCCTTGGTGAAATATAAATCCATTTTCAGCAGTTATTGCCAGTCGGGAAATTGTATTTGAGCTCGCAATGTTTACAGAATAATCAATTTATATCGAAAATATCTGCTCCGTGAAAATAAGAAAGGATTAAATTATTTCGTCAAATTGCTTATTGAAATACATGCCGCCATAGAAACAA